TTTTCAGTAATTCCAGTTTCCTGAATTTATTGTGCTGAAGCTCCCATTCAAGATGGTGTGACCAAGATTACAGATATCTGGATCCAGCTGATAATCTTAACATTAACCGATACTGATCTAGTTTTTTCAAAATCATCGTCTGTGGGATTCGAACTCTAGACCTGCCATTTGGGGGTGCAGCAACCCCACCACTTCACTAGATCGCCACACCCACTGTATCTATTTTTTGATAAAAATTAAAAAATAAATTAAAAAATAAAATTAAATTGTAATATTATTATTTATTTATTATTAGTTAAATAAAATATTGTATATTCTTATATACAAAACTTGTTCAAAAATTATATATAAAAATCAAATAATCCACCAATCTACTTATTAGAGTTTTACCAAAAAAATTTATAATTATAAAATAGTTTTAAAATACTACAGATTGCTTCTGCGTTTTTCTATTCATCATCCTCAGTAAATCAGATAATATTTATCTTTATCTTTCATTCTGACAACTATATTTTTAATTTCATTAACCAATTGCAATATCAAATAAATAGCATTCCAGCATGTCTCACAGTCTAATAGTGAAATTGTAGGCTTTACAGATTCAGATTTGAAAATATCTAAGAATATTTGATACTGCTTTGGTAATGTGTGTATTGCTTTAGTGCAACTATAAATCTAAATAGATTTGACAATTTTATTATTTTTATATACTACTTAATTAAACCTTAATCAAATTCTTATATAGGTACTATGGGTTACCAAATGATTTATACACAAGTAAATTGTTTGATAACTCATAGTACCTCCTAAATAGACTTGCAATTATTTTTTTAATAATCTCTAAAGTTTCTTTTAATCTATCTTTTACAATAATATTTAAAATATAAGCAATATAGTGATTATGAAAAAGATCTTTGCTAATTTCTATGAATAAGTCTTGAGATATATTATTAGCTAGTTCATGGATTGTGATTTTATTTGAAGCCACATTGTTAAGAGTAATAGTTTGCAACTATAATAAATTATATATATTATATTATTTTACCAAACCTTAACTTTAATACAATAAAATTAATAATTTATCTAATTACTTTAGTAGTAATAGACCACCTATCTACCTTACTCTTTATATAATTAGTGATGTTAATACCAGGGTAGAGATAAAGAATTAATACAAATGACAGTATAATAAAAATAAGATTCCATTTTTTATCAAAAAAATAGGCAGTAATTGCCAAGTATACAAGCTGTTGAAGAGATGTCCAATAATTGCAGGTAAGAGAGATTTTGCCTTCAGCATTTTGAAGTATGTTCTTAACTAGTGCTTTTCTTTTATTATAAGTATTCATAATATCTCACTTTATTAAATTAGCACTAACAACAAAATCAAGTAATAGTCCTCTAATTAGCTTTAGGAAGCTTTACCCTTCTACAAATTAAAAACTTAATTCATCTAGAACTACCATATCAGCTATGTCTTTTCTGACTGACTCTTTTGTAGATATTTAGTTTATATTAAATTTTAATTTTGTTTGCCTAATGCATCCTGACTTAAACCCATTTGAGTTAAATTCATTAGATAATAATCATTTATATTTTTGGCATGAATTAAGATAGCACTGAAGGTAAGATGTTTTGGTTACTTTTTTATGACTAAGTAAACCTTTACAATATTTATATTTAGCTTTTTATTCTTTTTTTAACAAAGAAAAATTTTCCTAAACAGGAGATGTAAACTTTGGTATAGTTTTGCTAGTAGTTTCACTAGTAGCTTTACTAGTGATTTTACTGGTGATTTTACTAGCAGTATTGCTAGTAGTTTTACTAGTAATTTTACTAGTAATTTTATTAGTAATTTTGCTAATGTCTTCACTAACAGTTTCACTAGTTGCACTATTAATGCTTTTTGAGGTAGTGGTTAAGCTAGTAACTGAGTTGACATCCATCACTATATTATTAGTATCATAATTATCAAAATTATAGCTATTATTTTCTGTAAAATCTTCTATAACTTTGTAATTTATATCAGTAGTAGATATATTGTTAGCTTTTAATGTTTTAGTATAATAAGAGTAAGAAATTATAGCAATACTAATATCTTGCCTATGGTTTTTAATAGCTTTCTACTTTTTTTGGTTAATAATTCAGTGCATTGGTAGCTCAGTGTGTTGGTAGCTCAGTATGCTGGTAATTAATGTGTGCATTAATAGATTAAAATACTAGTAATTAGTGTATGCATTGTTAATTAGTATGTTGGTAATTAGTGTATTGGTAATTAGTGCTGGTAATTAGTGCGTTGGTAATTAGTGCATGTAATTAGTGTGTTGGTAATTAGTATATGTAATTAGTGCATTGGTAATTAGTATGTTAGTAATTATATATTGGTAATTAGTACATGTATTGTAATTAAGACATCTGTATTATTAATATTGGGTTAAACCAAAGAGAAAAAAAAATATTAATTTTTTTATTTATATAGTAACAAAGATAATCTCTTGTGTAATATACTGCAGTTTATTCATAGTAATAGAAAGCAATAGAACCTGGATTATAATTGGCAGGTTTAGTACTGAGTACTTACAGATATGAGGATAGAGTACTGTTGCTTATAGCCCTATCTGTCTATATATAGGCTTAATGACTTTGAGCTCTTATCGTTACTTTAGGGCCCAAAATTAATACTCTACCCCAGTTTGTGTGGTACTACCCTCAGAGTATCTGTGGGTAGCCTGAGCCCTTGCAGAAGCTTATCTTTAACCCCAAGTATCTTGGGATTCACCAAGCCAATTTGAATGGTTTAACTATATTAAGATTCTAAAAACCTTCTCTACAAGTTTTTTTAAGCCTGGAAGAGATCTTTACTTAGTAGAACTTTTTTTAATTTTCAAAAGATTGCTTTAGCCAATTATATTATTACTTTATATAAGTTAGTTATTTGACAAAGAATATAAAAAAGAATTAAACAACTTTAGCTTAAGATTCTTTTAAAACTACTTGGTATATAACTTTATAATTTTTGTTAAAAAAGCATCAAATACTAAAAAATATAAGTCTTATATTTAAAATTATATTTTA